TCCGGTAAGGTATTCTCCCTCCGCTCAGAAGATTAGCTTGAATCCCACACTGAAATGGAGGAGGGATCTGTGCTAGGGAAGCACAAGCGTATCCCCTGGAAGCATCTGGAGGACACTCCCAAACGAGAGGAAACAACCAGATGATCTAAGAATGGGCTTCTCACCACATCTGAGCCAGGTATCTTTTTGCCAGGAACATCGACATGATCAGAAGGACCAGTCATGATGGAACATAAAGGGAGCACATCTGCATGGGAGAGGATAGTTTAGCAATGTGATCTTAAACAGAAATAAGAATCACTCAATCCCATGATGGCAAGTGAGGATGTGTCCCATGATGTAGAGTGGCTAAGGTGCAATGGACCATACTCAGTAAATCAACTACATCCAAAACCTCACTCGCTGGGTACCAATATCCTTGTGAGGGTAGGATAAGGATCATACCATCTTCACCTCAAGTCCTAGAATCAAGAGGGAACTTAACATTCGACTCCAGGAACTCACAGGGTAGCCTAATGCCAGGGATCCGGGAATGTGTCATCCAGAATTCAAAGGAAGTCCATTGCATGCACTCAACCCCCACTACTGTGAAAAAAGTTCAAAACAATCACAGTTTGGTAACAACCTCATCATCCAACAAGGGAAAACCCACCACAGAAGTGGAAACAGGCCACGGAAACCTTCTGCAACCCACAACACAGAAGACAAGTCGAGAGGGGAAGATGGACAACTCGAAACTTGTGTTAGGACTTATGTGATTGGTTCACTCAATATCCAAAACCTCACTTGCTGGGTACCAATATCCACGCGAGGGTAGGAGGAGGGCACCCAATCAGAAGGGTGAACTGCATTTGGATGTCTCAACTCCGGGAATTAGTTACTCATCCGGAGGATCTTGTAACTCTCTCTACACCAGCAAACACCACCACCCTACTCTGAACTGAATGGTTATAGCCATTTTTGTGGAACCCATCCAGCAAGTTGCCTCCATGGTCAACCACCCCAGCAGCTTGGAACTGGTAAGTGGAAAAGACTCCTATACTCCACTGGAAGAAAGGGGGAAAAGTGTGGTGGAGAGTCCGAAGGGACTCCAAAACTCAAAAAAGTGCAATGGGTGATCACAAAAACTTATTTTTAAAGGCAGACCAGACCACACCAATTTATTCAATCTAAGCACAGCAGAGATGGACAGCGATCTCTTTCTGTTTTACCTATGCCATCCATGGGTGGTACAGTCTGGGATGGGCACATTATGATGCAATTATCACAAGGAATTTACACTCTAGTAATTTTGTGAAACACACCATCTCAAGGGTGAATATACATAGCCATGGGAAATTTATAAGAATCAACATGGCTTATAGTGTGGATTTGATAGCAAGATGTCTGCAAATGGTTACAGCCATCTAACTGGAACCCATTCTGAGTATAGAATACCTGGTCAGGCACCACTCGCCACATGGGATCCAAAGTGACACTGAAGTAGGGGTCCTTGAAAGAAAGGAAAGCATTAGTAAGGACTTACCTCTTGTCTCGAAGTCTGTAGAATAACCACAGGTGGCAGGCTATACCAAGGAAGCAGAAACAGCAATGTAGTGTAGGTAGTGGGAGATGAACTTTTGTTGAGTCATCCACGTGCCTGATCGTAGAATCTCTTACAATAGCCGACAAAGAAGAGAGGCAAGGAAGAAGGTAAGGTGACGAATTTGATGTGAGGAAACATGAAAGAGATCATGCTAGGAAGAAGACAAGGAGGAATAGGCCAACTGGACCAAACATCAAACCCAATTGGTCTAGGTAACTGGGGAAAGATCATGGGAAAAGGAAGGTTGCCAAGGGATAACAACAGAGGACATGGACAAGACAGAGAAGTCTATCCGGATCAGGATGAGGGGAGAGATGAGACATAGAGGATAGGCAGATAAGAGAAAAGGAGGACTGACCTTCTCGAACCGCAATGGTCTTAGGAAGGAAAGAGAAATCTGAATAAAGGATAAGGTAGGAGGAGTGATACAAGGTCCTGGTAACATTGAGGGCAAAAATCTATGACGCTCACATGCCAGGAGGAGGAGGAAATACGCCTTCAAAGTCAAATGAAACAGACAGAGGTTTGAACAGAAGTATAGTGAGGGCATGAAGGACCATGTTAATGTTCCAGTCCAAGAGCGATGGATGCCTCAGTGGCCGACTGAGTTGGGAAAGAATGGATCAACATGGAAAAAACAGGGGTAGCAAAGACCCTGTAGAAACAGAAAAAAACAGATGGTATGGGATAATGCCACCCAAAACTCCAAAATCGAGGAGACCGAAGAACCCCCTCTCAAAGAGCCATGTGAGAAACCTGAAAATACAGGCAACCATTGGATGACAAGTCTGGAAACCGCGAGTCAAAGCCCAGCAGTGATAAATGTTCCATTTGCATGGATATACGGACAAAGAAGAAGGGTGAATGGAATGGGCTAACTGTGAAGCTACTCTGTGAGAGAAAATAGAACTCCTCTTGAAGGATCTGACAAAATCCAGGCATGAAAATGGAGGACAGACGGTGCGGGATGGAGTGCAATTGACTGGGGTTGATGGAGCAGGTCAGGATGGAAGGGATCACCTTCAATTGGAGCAACTGAAGAAATCAAAATTGAGCAGGACAGTAAGGAGCAATCAGAAGGACCATGAACAGAGTGACATGCATGAGGGAAACCATCCAATGAAGTAAACAGATGGGAGGGTAAACATAAAGGAACAAACCAATGACCCAAAACCACCTGTTGATCCACCTTGATCCACCCAGATACCCCAGCCTTGAAGGGATGCATCTGAAAACAGATGTAAATCTGGCCATGGAGGAGGAAGCGGCACCCCACCAACCACAAATGGAAATTGTCTACAAGGGATGAGGGAAGGGATATAGAAGTATCCAAGAAATCCCAGGAAAGGTTCCAGTGATTGTGAAGGACCTATTGAAGAAACTGCATATGGGCCCTGCCCAGGGGTATGAGAGGGGTCATGGAGGACCACATCCCCAAAAGCAATAGAACCTCGTGAACTGTAAGTGAGGGAACAGACAGGGCTTACCGAATGACCCATTCTATAGAATGGAGCTGGAGAGAAGAAAGTTTGGCCCGATTGAGATGAGGGTTAAAGAAAGCACCTAAATGGATAAGGTGTTAGGTAGGACAAAGGAAAGTCTTCTCCAATTTGACCAACCAGTTCACCTGCACAGTTTCAGCCAGGAGCTGATGAATGTGACAGGCCGATTCCCGTTCAAAATGAGCAAGAAGAAGCCAGTTGTCCATATCAACATAGAAGCACAATCCAATGGAATGAATATGTTGAGTAAAGGAACAGACCACACGACGAAAATGTATGGTGTTAGGGATATCCCAAAAGGTAAGAGGTGAAACTGGTCCACAATCCCTCAATGGACAAGATATGGACAGAAATGCTCCACCACAGGAAAGTGTAGGTAAGCATTGGAAATGTCCACCTTGGTCATCCCAAGACCTGGAGAAAATGCCCACCAAAGAGAAAGGTATGTCTCCATGGTAAAGTCAGAAGTGTGAATATTGTGATTGAGACAGGATAAATCGATGACAGGACCCAAGTTCTTGGGAACCACAAACATGCGGGAGTAAAACCCCGTAAACCTGATGGAGTGGGTTCAATAGCCTGTTGTGCAATGAGGCCCTGAAGTGTCTCTGACAGATGCTGGCATGTCGAGGTATCCTAAAGAGAAGAGAAGGGAACACTGAATAATGGAGGACGGGGATAATGTATCCCTAGGAGAGCACTTTGTGAACCCAGACATCGGTGAGAAAAGGTCTCTACACATGAATTAAATTCAACAAATGGGCTCCAACTGGGCCTGAACCAACCACATAGTCACCAGCATTGCTGCTGTCAGATCATGCATCGTTGAACCGTGGCACTGTGGGAGGATGGAACAGAAAGACGTTGGGAAGGGGAAAGTCAGGGACAGGATTCGGTGCCTCACTTGGCCCCCTCTGTGACAAACGAGCTATCAAGTTAGTAAGGGTATGATGTTGATGGGCCTAGTCCACCTGCAACTCCAAAGAGTCAAGAACCGAGTTAAATACATAATGCCACAAAAACGGTGCCATGCAGAGGTCCCTCAGATATGGAGCCTGGAAGCAGATCCACACCAAAACCTCATCATCGCTCAAGAGTTCCCAACAACAAACAAACCACGTTTGAAGTGTGAGAACTGAAGAGGACAAACGAGTCAACGTAGAAGTAAGGATGGAGAGGATGTCAGCAGAAAACCTCTCAGGGTTCCTGTGAAGAGCCTTTGACAGAAGGTGAAGGGAAGAAAGATACTTTAACAGTGTCGTAAGAGTGAGACGAAGGCAAGAAAATTGGGCTTAGGTAAGTTGGACAGGGTAATCTGGGTTTGCCCCTCCCCAAAAAACAGGTAGAACCGACCCCAACAACTGTTGTTCGAGAAAGAGAGAGTCCACCCAATGATAAGCAAGAGCAGACTAATCTGAAGTCCATGGGGGATGAGGCATACTAAGCCCTCCCCCATTTGAGAGGAAAATTGGTCCTTGTGAACCCTTATATCAGGAGATGGGGGGGGGGGGGAACTAAATAGGGTTGGGAAGTTGCTTCATGTAAGGGGGAAGGTCTAGGGTCATAGAAAACAGGCGTAAGAAGCAAAATATCACGTCCTTAAGAGATAAGGTCTGCAAAGACCATTGATGGAAGAGGAAAATCATCAGGTAGTGAATGGAAAGGTGCGGCAAACTCCGAGGGGGGGGGCAATTAGAATCATCTTCAGCCTGGCCCAGCTCAAAAGGCTCAGAAGGAAGTGGGGCAGAAGTAGGCGAGAGGGGTTGGCTCATTTATCACTCAGTCTTCTAGCAAATGAGCAATGATATATCCCCCGACAGGTCGCCCACACTCATGGTTGAAAATACGGCATCAGACGCTGGCGAAGTACCGAAGTGGTGACTGTAACTTTGGAATTCATAAGCGGGAAAAAGCAGCATACACGAGGAAGTTATGCTTTAATAAAAAAAAAAAATGAATTTCTGAACTTGACAGCTGTCAAATGAGAAGTGATAGTTTGGTAGTCGTACGTCGAAGGAGTCACATGTGACACGTGATAGCAGTGCACTCCTATTGGTAAAGAGAGGTGACACATGATGATATGCATGAGAGACGAGTTGGAACTTTGGATTCCAGCAGAGGCATGGTGAAGGCTTGTGGCATGCGTTTCTTAAAAAGTTTGCATAGAGAGGGCAGCACAATACAAGAAAAGGTAATCTTGTGAAAAGAGGGAGAGTTCCTTATCGTAAGCACAATAGTTTCATAATTAAAATTTATTTATAAACAAGTTAAAATCTATTGTTTACATGACTAATTATCATACTTTTTACAATTAATATAAACTTCATTATTTTTTATTACAATCAAATATACCAATTACCTCAGTATTCACAAATGAAAGAAACATTATTGTTGAAATCATAATATTGAATGTATCAATTATCTCACTATTAACAGATGAAAGAAACATTACTGGTGTAATCATAATATTGAATGTATCAATTATCTCACTAGTCACAGATGAAAGAAACATTATTGGTGTAATCATAATATTGAATGTATCAATTATCTCACTAGTCACAGGTGAAAGAAACATTACTGTTGAAATCATAATATTGAATGTATCAATTATCTCACTATTAACAGATGAAAGAAACATTACTGGTGTAATCATAATATTGAATGTATCAATTATCTCACTATTAACAGATGAAAGAAACATTACTGGTGTAATCATAATATTGAATGTATCAATTATCTCACTATTAACAGATGAAAGAAACATTACTGGTGTAATCATAATATGGAATGTATCAATTATCTCACTATTAACAGATGAAAGAAACATTATTGGTGTAACATTTACTATTAACTGTTTATGGAAGCAGTTTTTTTAACATACTATTACTTACAGGCTGCAGCCTAGTTTTCCTTAAAACTATTCAAATCTCTAAAAATAATCATTTATGGTATATAAAATAAAAAGTATAATCCAACCAAAGCCAGTTTATAAATTCCTTATTTACACCAGTTACTGCATGAACAATTACAATTCTTCTAATATAAAAATGAACTGTTTATTGTGAAACAAATTTTCCTGCTTGGTCCTTGTGGTTATGTCAGTGTTAGCTATGTATATTTAACACGCTCATATTTAAGGCTAGTTATGGTTTATTTCATACATTATCCTAGAGAACAAACAAACTATTAAAATCAACCAGATTATATTCTCATTCAGTAGTTATGAAATTTAAAACTTTAGGATCAAAATTCATGAAATGAAAAATTGATGATAAAAAAGATCATAAATCAGAATTCATGAATCTTCTTGTTTCAAACTCATAAATGTGGTTATTTATGGGCCATTAAATAAATTACATGGACATTCACTGCATTAAAATTTAAAACATGTTTATTGCAAGCTTTTGGCCCTCTTACCAGAGCCTTTGGTAAAAAGTAAGAGAGCCAAAAATATGCAATATAAACAGACAGAAATTTTTAAGACTGAATTTTAATGTAATTTATATAATAATTAAAAAACTTGATAACCCAGTTATCTGACTACAGTATTCAGGGGTATTATTAAAGACATCACTACAATCAGTAAGTTCCAGTTGATCAACAATAGTCCTTCTACTTTACCTCACACCCAATTATGGCATCAAACCCATATGTGTAGGATTCACAACTGTCACACCTTTCTCCTGTTACTCTGGGTGGACATATACATTGGCCAGTTACTGGATGACAAACCGCTGTCGATGGACAATCACAAGGCTGGCAGTCGGGAAATCCAAAGTAGCCAGTACGGCACTGAGCACATGTTCGTCCAATCACATTTGGCTTACACTTACACTGACCACCAAACTCCTCACATTCGAAGCTCAGTGATCCGTCAATATCACACTGGCAAGGTAATGCTCCATTGTTGTATTCTGCCGTCAGTGAGTAAACTGCATCTCGACAGAATCCTGTAAATGTGGAAATCAGTGAATAAAATGGCATTACAATGATCAGAGAAAAGTAATGGGAAAGTATATTTTAAAGTTCAAACTGGTACAATTTAAATGTGACTACAGTGGTTGTATTTGCATTTTTAAGTTGAATCTAGTACATCTAAGAGCAAACATTTCTGTTTAATTCTGAAGTTAACAGCTGTTTTATATCAAAACAGTCTTCTCACTGATGCGAGTATTGAAGTTGTGTGATCAATCTTGTAAAAAATAGCTGCAACTCCACCTACATTCCAGACCTAAAAAAACTCTTCACAACTTGATGTCCTACCTTGTACGTCAGGAGAAATAGAGAAGTGGTCCTTATTACACTCCGTTACAAATCTTCCTGCTTGTTCTTGTTTGATAGGATGCAGGAGGTTCTCATCAAACTGGTCTGCTGGGATTGCTAGAACATAGTCCTATCAAGACAGAAACCCATTAGAATAATGTATGTTAATATACCTGATTATCTGATACATCCAGGTGTGAAACATAAGAATTATACCAATATTAACCCACCCACATGGATGTAAATAAAAGCCACACACATGTTAAGATATTTTCAATGATAGAAAGCAAACTATACAAATAAAGAAATAAGTATCATGGAACTAGATAAGAACAAAATTATAAACAGCAATTTAATCTGACTTGCATGAACTTCGGTTCTGAAGTTCAAAATTTATAAACAAACCACTGAAATTCTTCATATGACCTATGCTGTAATAATTATCTCATTTAAACACGTTCCAATTGCTACTACTTAAAGTAAGTAAACAATACTAACATATGAATAACTAAACAAAAAACTGGTACTACTATAGCATGTGGTCTACACAGATATTTACAATATAGCGTGTGGTCATCAACACAGTTTTAATGATTCATAAAACATAATTTCTTGCTACATAATTTATATCTATCCACGTTTTTGTTCAGCAAATATTAATAATTTAGTAAGCTGTGTGTTCCAAAAGAACACCTAAATTTAGGTTATGATTGTTGGAATTTGTTTCATTCTGATTATATTTGCCCCAAAAACTTTATTTAATGGTATTTTGTACTTTATTACTTTAAAATTGTTATTTATAATAAATGGTAGCAATTGTAAGTAAACGAAAATGAAAATGGTGATGATGACAGTATCTGTGTAGACCGCACACTATAGTGTAAATATCTTTGTAGACCATACGCTACAGTAGTACCAAAAAATCTTTACAAATAAAAACAAACTTTACACTTACCACCCAAATGCCCTTATGGTCTGGTTCTTTCAAGGTGAGTACAAAATTCTCCAGGATTGAAAAAATATCAGAGTTGGTGTTCACTTCCTTCACCACGCTACGACAGCCAGAAACACTAGGACAGTGCATGACAGGTAGTATAGCTTCATAGAACTGCCCATTCTGTATCAGTACCTTCATATCATAGGCAGGGTGGTCAGGCTAGATGTTACAGATCAAAATTTCAGTTTGATAAATCATTCAGTGAAAATGTACACATCACAATTTTCTATCACAACCAATCACGAATGTGCAGTAATTACATCCAGAAAAGGTCCTGATGAATAAAATTAAACTTTCAATAGCACATTACACTCAAACAGCAGCACAAATTATTTAAAAAAAAAGTAAGATTTAACATCTGGTAGTTAACTACCAATATAACAGAAAAAAATAATTTATTTTAATAGTATGTAGCATGGATTGGAGTGTTATAGACAATTATAAACTAAATAAGCTCCACATAAGAAAACAGTATTTTTGTTTAAATAAAAACGTTTCTTTTGTTATAAGATGCTAAAACTCACTTATTTTCAAACAGCTAACAAGTAATACCTCAGAGGAAAGAACATCAAAGCAAGCAAAGATAACGTGTTACCTACTAGAAATGTATCGACAAAACATGTAAAGATAACGTGTTACCTACTAGAAATGTACCAACAAAACATGTAAAGATAACGTGTTACCTACTAGAAATGTACCGACAAAACATGTAAAGATAACGTGTTACCTACTAGAAATGTACCGACAAAACATGTAAAAATAACGTGTTACCTACTAGAAATGTACCGACAAAACATGTGACGATAACGTGTTACCTACTAGAAATGTACCGACAAAACATGTGAACATAACATGTTACCTACTAGAAATGTACCGACAAAACATGTGAAGATAACGTGTTACCTACTAGAAATGTACCGACAAAACATGTAAAGATAACGTGTTACCAACTAGAAATGTACCGACAAAACATGTAAAGATAACGTGTTACCTACTAGAAATGTACTAACAAAACATGTGAACATAACATGTTACCTTTACATGTTTTGTCGGTACATTTCTAGTAGGTAACACGTTATCTTTACATGTTTTGTCGGTACATTTCTAGTAGGTAACACGTTATCTTTACATGTTTTGTCGGTACATTTCTAGTATTTACATGTTTTGTCGGTACATTTCTAGTAGGTAACACGTTATCGGTACATTTCTAGTAGGTAACACGTTATCTTTACATGTTTTGTCGGTACATTTCTAGTTGGTAACACGTTATCTGACAAAACATGTAAAGATAATGTGTTACCTACTATAAATGTACCGACAAAACATATTACCTGGTAGTAATGTACCACTATTACATATGAACCAGCTGCAGGAACTGAACCATGGATATCTACCATTGGATCATCATGATCAAGATAGATAAGTTTCACTTGTTGATCTCCCAGTGTTGATGGGAGTTCTGTAGCTATTCTGTTTTCATTCTGTCCACTTTCAAACTCAACCTATAAACAAAAAGAGATGGTGATTAAATACGAGAGAGAGAGAGAGATAGTATTCATCTAACCAATCAACACCAGCCAAAACATATAGCTTCTGTTGCTTGTTTAAATATAAGTAAAATTTATTGATCTATAAAACACTTAAAACTCATTACCCAAAATTTTCTCCTTTAGGTTACGGGCACTTGTAAAGAATTTGGATTTACACATTTCCATTTGCATCATTCAAATGTACTTAACCTTGGTTATGTTCATTAGATCAAAGAGACATGAGAGGTTTAGTCTTTCGAACTGTTTTTGTGGCCTGACCAATATACATGAACATTGTTTGTGTGCTCTATATATATAAGGTATCAAAATTACTACAAGATAACTAGGTTAGAGGTAAATGAGATGTGAACTATATATATATAAGGTTTCAAAATTACTACATGATAACCAGGTTAGAGGTAAATGAGATGTGATCTATATATATATAAGCTTTTAAAATTGCTGCATAATAACCAGGTTAGAGGTAAATGAGAGAAGAATTTGATTAACTTGTGGAGGAAGAAGCTCATATATGAAGCACTACAACTACAATAATGGTAAGTCTGCTTGTTGCATCAGTCAATAAGGACATTTTATAGGAAATTAGGTATCAGTGTTAATATATTTTATATGAAAACTGAAAACAAGGTATCAGTGTTAATATATTTTATATGAAAACTGAAAACAAGGTATCAGTGTTAATATATTTTATATGAAAACTGAAAACAGGGTATCAGTGTTAATATATTTTATATGAAAACTGAAAACAAGGTATCAGTGTTAGTATATTTTATATGAAAACTGAAAACAAGGTATCAGTGTTAATATATTTTAAAGG